AATGGCATTAGCTATGTTTAACTTAGTGTGAGGCTGGGGTCTTTCATAAGGAGCTTAGCATTCCTACAGAGTGTGTCCCGGATACCTTGAAACAGCTTGCCATGCCAAAGAGGAGATATGAAAAAGGTAGAAGGTTTCGACAAGATCAGAATCAGGACAGTTAGTAAATGGTGAAGTAAGGTTGCTTGACAGAATCACGTAAGAAGCTGTCAGTGGTAATTCTGAGTTTGTCCCAGGTGGGACACACAGCCAGCAAGCTTTAAAACAGCCTGATTGGGTCACATTAAGGAGCTTGTAGGCTGAGGTCAGGGTCTGAAGTAGGAGATGAAATGACAGGTTTGTATTATTTAAGAGGGGGGATGTCAGAGAGGAAATTACCTTAGAAGCCAGTGCCCACTGGCAGAGTTGAACAGTGGGGAGTAAGGATTGAAATAATTAAAGCATGTCACATGAACAAAAGAAAGAAATTTGTGGAACTGCCAAGCTTGTTTTCTAAAACTACTTCCCTATAGCAGATATGGTCCAAAGTTACACAAACAAGTTTTAAGGAACTTGGAGAAACTTCTGCTTTTCTGTCTCAAGGTCAAGGCCAGAGTGAAAACATATTTTTTTAATAAATAACAAAGCAGCTTGACAAACAAGCAGCTCTCTACAATTAGAGGAGTGTTTAATTACCTTCTCTACTTCTCCCATCCCCAGTGATTGGGTAATATATCAGGTAGGATCCTGTAGCTGAATGACCACAGAGGAATGGTGCCTAGGGACAGAGGGGTTTGGGACATCCCAAACTTGGGGGTCCACTTGAAAGGCTGGTAAAGGAAGTATTGTATCACAACTGGTAGGTAGGGGAGCTAGGAGAAGATGATGCTGTTGAGCTTGAGGTCAGGCAAATGAGTGGAGTAAAAAGGAGGTAGAGGTTCCCACTTTGGCTAAAAATCCCTTCCCAGTAAGGGAACTGGACAGGTTGGCATCAATAAAGAAGAATGAATCAAAAGAACACTTCTGAAAATACAATTAAGTGGTGGATTCTAGCAAGGCTGGCAAGGCTGTTCCCTTACCCCAACAATGGGGTAACTAGAAGGAAATGTTTGTCCCCAAAACTCCATCAGGACTGAGTAAGTGGCACTGGTGTCCACAAGGAAGGAGATGAGTCACCCTGATATCATGATAATTACCTGTGGCTCCCTGCTAGTGATGGCAGTGGTCAAGCCAAGGGAACCTGGGCACCTTCAGTCGTCTGGATAGCCAGGCCTAGGATATCAGCCAGAAGGCAATCTGGGAGTGATGCCCCCATATTATGGGAGAAACAGATGCAGTCAACACCCCCATGTTCCTCTTGGTGGCATTTTGGACATGGCACTGGTGCCTTGCAAGGGTTAGGACAAAACTGGGCCCAGTGACCTTTGTGACCACATTTAAAACAGGGACCCTATTGTCCTCATGTCTTAGGAGACAAGGGAGGCTGGGTAGTGGATGAGGCCGGTCAGATGGCCTCGGCAGCAGTTGGTATTTTTGCTTGTGGGGCTTTTTCATCTCTCCCACGGTACACCTTAAAGGCCAATGCTAAGATTTCTGCCTGTGGAGTCAGAGGTCCTCTCTCTAAGCATTTAAGCTTAGCCCTGATGTCAGGGTAACTCTGGAATTAAAAATACGTCATCAGAAGTTGCCTACCCTCTGTACTTTTGAGGTCTAGATTAGTGTGTTATAAGAGGGCCTTTGTAAGGTGCTCTTGTAATTGAGACATGTTTTCATTCTTGTCCTGAATGACCTCCTGGAGATTTTCAAATTTAACTGGCTTAAGGCAGCCTTGCAGAGACCAGCCAGGAGGCAGGTCATGAACTGATCTGGCTAAAATGCCTTCTGGGATATTATAATCCTATTATGGATCCTGGTCAGGCATCACCTCAGCCCCAACCAGGTGTGCTGCGTTTCTTTGGTGAACATCATATGCATGTGTTCTAGCCTGTTCCCAAACTCGCTTGTGTTCCTCATGTAATAGGTTATTGGCAAGAATCATGTATATATCATGGAAGGTGAGACTGTAAGATTGAGTGAGATACTACAATTCTTTAATGAAAGTAGAAGGATTAGAGGTATAGGATCCTAGTCTCTTTTCTACTTGAGAAAGTTCAGTTAATGAGAAGGGAACATTCACCCTAACTAAGCCATCTATACCAGCCACCTCCTGCAAGGGAAGAACTGAGGCTGGTTTATGCTGAGTAGAGGAAGAAGAGGGCTTTGCTATAGAGTGAGAGTGGGTAGCAGGGGGCTAATAGCTGTTGGTGGGGTAAAAGTGAGTGCCAAAGTAGAATGACTAGGACAGTCTGTTGCTGAGGAAGATGGTAAGGGTTCTGGAGAACCCAAAGAGGAAGAGGAGGAAGCATAGGAGGGGGAAGACACCAGAGGTTGGGAAGAAGCTGGAGGTTGAGAATGATGAGGTGGAGGTTCATAAGCAGGGTCAAGGGTAGAGAACTCTTGAGATTGAGACTTTATAGCTAGAAGAAGTTGGGTATGAGAACAGGAAGAACAGAGAGAAGGTTTAGAGAGGAGAAGAGAGAAATCTTGAAAATAAGATACCTCCTTCAATTTACCAGATCACTGACAGTAATTAAAAAGATCCCGTAAAATATTGGGATTTAATGTGCCATTAATTGGGCCAATTTGAACCATTTTCTAAGGAATATATAGGCCAAGTTTTATTACAGAGGCATATGAGCTAAGAGGCCTTTAAGTCAGGCTCCATGTGTAGGGCTTTAAAATTCTCCAGAAGACATCCCAGTGGGGATGCTGGAGGAACGGATGAATGGGCTGTTCCCATTGGGAGGGTAGGAGTCAGTGACCTGTCAAGGCATCCCAAGAGCAGGATTTGACCCAGTAGAGTAGTCCTACCTGATCCAGCAACTCATCAACGTTGGCCAGAAACCAGGAGCACGGTAACCTGTAGGAGACATAGTTAACCTAATGCTAGGATTTTTTTCATAGGGAAGCTTGAAAGGGAAAATCTGTGCATGTAGAGGGAAAAAATCTCTCCCAAGGGAAAAAGGAATCCCTAAGTGGAAGTCAGAAAAAAGGGCAAACCATAGGCAGTGAAGACAGTAGTTGGGGGTACCTCCGCCTCAAAGGATAGTGGGAAGTTGCCAGATGCTAGATGGCCAATTTTCCCTTACCCAGATAAATGTTTATGCCAACCAATGTGGGGAACTCACCAATCCAACCGGTGATGAATGCAGCAGGGAGCAATGAGAGCAATCTAGTTGCCAGAAAGTGGGTCTCTGGCGGATTTGGAGTGAAATAGGTTTCCAGCAACTCCGGTGGGGTGGTGGCAACCACCACACAGTATGGCCACTGAAGGCAACTATTCCCGGCCAATGCACCAAAGTTAGGATTGTGCACCAGTTACACAGCAGGTTCTCAAATCACGCCATGTGACTGGTTCCACATGGGAGGTTTACTGAGGGTAGGGGGAAGAAAAGGGAGAAGAGAAGGACAATGGGAAGAAAGAAGGTGGTCACAGAAACCATCTCTGAGCAGGGCAGGAGAGAAAAAGAGAGAGGAGCTTCAAGTTCTCTTATAAGGTGAACCAGAGCATGCACAGGTGGTTCCAGGTGGTCTGTAGGTGGCTTAACAATGCCTGATATCCGGTTTGTCAGGTCCTTTGTGGCTGGCCGTAGAGATTCCTGCTAATAGATTCCAACACCTTTAATATCTTGACAGATAGAAGACCTGACACTTGACAATCAATCAGGTGAGGAGCCAACACAAATCCATAGCTTCATGAACTTCCAGGGCACTGTCCTAAAATGGGTTTCCTAATAAAGTATCCTTGGTCTGAATGCCATCTGACTCACTGTCACTGAAATGTGGTAAGTGGGATCTGACCATGAACTCTCACCCTGTTGAGGGACCATGCTATGGTATGAGTTTGTTGAATGATTCACAGAACCAACATAAACCAGAAATGGCTACCTTCAGGGAGGATCTTTAATCCAGAGGATGCCTCCAGCGAGGACTTTCTTGTTGTCAGGGTCCCAGTGCAGCACAAAACATCACATGCCAAGAGCCAGGTACAGTATTTTGTTTAATTGATGAGCATTCAGGTAATACACTACTTCCTATACAAAATAAGGATTTCAAGACAGCTCTTCTGGCATCCCCAATTGCATTCTTTCAGTCTTTCTTGTTATTCATTTGGCTTAGCACACAATAGTCACACTGGGCAGCATTTGTACAATTTTATACAAAAGGTACCAATTTCAACCCCCAAATGAAATATTATAGAAAAGCAGAGGACAAAAATGACACCTTTAACAGAGTTAATAAAATGTAACTGATAAAAAAAATAAAATTAAAAAAAATAATAAAAGCAGATCTTTTGGAGGAGGTCATTGACAGTTGAAAAAAATGACACCTTTATATGAGGTAGAGATGGGAAAGATAAAAGGCCAAATATGTCATAGACATGGAAATTTTCTAACAGAAAATTAAGTCACTTCATACACAGTTTTATAAAGATAAGCCTTATCTTTTAGAGGAGTTGAAAGTACAGAAAAATCAATTCTACTTCAATTTTATTGATTTTCACAGTCGTATTTATTTGTATATAATAAACTTGACTGCTGGTTTTGTATTCCTCCAGGATAAAGAACTCCTGGTAAGAATTATGTCCTTGCTTATCTTAAAAAACATTTTTATTCCTTTAAAAAAATTTTTTTTTGTTTTTTAAAACACAGTTTCTCTGTCCTGGACTCACTTTATAGACAAGGCTGGCCTCAAACTCACAGAGATCTGCCTGCCTCTGAATGATCTGCCTGCCTCCGCTTCCCTGAGTGCTGGGAATAAAGGCATGGGCCACCACACCCAGCTCTCTATGCCATTTATAAAAGTCATATCCCTAAGGCTCTTGACTTGTAGTGCTTATCTCTCCTGCTTTTGTTTTAAGCTCCCTCTCTTCACAAAGCTCTTCTCTGGGTTTTGTTTTTATTTGTTATTACATTTAGTGGGTGTGCGAGCCCATGTGTGCATATGTGCTACAGTGCACGTGTAGAGGTGAGAGGGCAGTTTTGGGGAGTTGGTTCTCTCCTTCCATCAGTATGGGTCCTGGGTATTGAAGTAGGGCAGCAGCCTTGGTCACAGCCATCTTTACTCCCTGAAGCATCATCATGTCAACTGCCATTCCTGGAATCTGGAAACACACCTCTGTTTCCCTTTGAGGCCCTTTCATGCTGTCTCTGATCGGATGCTCCTTCCTTCTGATTGCTCTCCCACCTCAGGGCTCTCTCTCTCTCCTAACAAGCTCATTTCTGAAGGGTAATCTTTGTCAGCTTCCTTCCTAAACCGAACATATGCTTTAAATGTACATGTGCTTCCTAGTGCGAGGTCGATACTGTGGTGAGCTGTTTTAATTTATGCAGGAATTGGGCTGCTCTTAACATTTACAGTTATTGTGCTTGCCCTCAGTGTACCAAAGTCTTCAATACCTTATTGGCATATAAATTGTGGAGTGGAGACTACTTTGCCATAGAGGTATTTTCTGTTTCACTCAGACCTCTCAGATCACTCTAAAGCATTTTCTAAAAGGTGTTGCTATATCTTAGAAGAGGGTCATTGATTTTCAAAGCCAGAAAATCTCTGTGTACACAGCTAGCTCAAAGACCATCAGGCTTCTGTTCACTCCATCCCTTAAAGGAACAACCTGGAGTACTTAACATTCTAGGTTCCCTGAGTGCATACCTGTTAGCACCATGACCTCTGTGTCACCTACAGAGATGGACCAGCCAAATGTTGGCATTAAAGTGTGTGCCACCATGCCCAGCTTTTTGTTTGTCTCTTTACTTTTTTGTTTGTTTGTTTGTTTGTTTGTTTGAGGATAGAACTGTTAATAAGAGTCTGCAACTATCAGTTCAGTGGTATTGAAAAGATATGCTAAGGCAAAACGTAATTCCATAGCTCTATTAACCATTATACTTGAAGACTCGGAGCTTAAACTGCATCGCCGTGGACACACTTTATCCTTCAAAAGAAAGAGAATTTAAGAATCTTCCTCCGCTTGTACTCCAGACCAAAGTGATGCCCAGGATCCTACCTCCAAAACCTAGGTCCTTTCTGAACAACTTAGCTTTGTCAACTCAACACAGCCGAAAGTCATCTTAGAGAAAAACCCTCAATGAGGAATTGACCTGATCAGACTATAGGCACACCTATGAGGGAATTATGTTATTAAATGACATTAGAGGACCCCACTTTGGGGGTCCCCATCCCTCAGAGGTGGTCCCGTGAATATAAAAAAAGCTGCCTAAGAAGAGAAGGAAGGAACCAGAGAGTGAGCCAGCAAGCAACAGTTCTCAGTGCTTTCTGCCTCCAAGCTCCTGCCTTTAGTTCCTGTGTTGACTTCCCCCTGTGATGGACCTACACTAGAAATGTGAGAGGAAGCAACACTCCCTATCCCACAGTGCTTTTGGTCAGGGTGTTTTATCACAGCATGTATATTGAGTGTAGAAAATGTTCTGACTGTCAGAGAAACAGGAAACAGGAACCTGGAATTCACCCTGTTTTTGGTAAATGATTTAAACTCATTCTTCACTCTCTGTTCATGGAGCCAGAAAGACCTAGTTCATCTAATAAAACAATATCAATTCACATTACCAAAGTCTACATGACTAAGTTCCATTAAACCTGTAAATCTTTGTGGCTCAGAGAAGGAAGTTGCCTCCCCAGGAGCAGCTAAACCAACCCCATCACAAATATTTTCCTTCTTTATAGACTCCTTAGAGCCCAACTGCCCAATCCAGACTCAGCTACATAAAGTTTAAACAGTGTGTTCAAAGGTCATTGTATGAAAAATAAAAGTATTTTTATGCCTCATTTGCTAGAATATGACTTTGCTTCCATACAATAACTTTTGAATATCTTAGCCTCTGCTTCACTTTCTCACTTCACTTTGTCAACCAGATTACTGCTTGGAGTGAAGAGGCTGAATCCCACTGACAAAAAAGTAACTTGTACCTGTTCCCTGTACCGGTGATGTGTTTTGGTGAAGGAAGGCTTTACACTGGTAGCACCCTGCTGGCCACAAAAGGAGCCTCTCAGCCAAGATCATCCAGTTTCTTGAAATGACATCAAGACGAGCCTTTATAGTAAAGGTATGAAAACCACAGAGTAAAGGGGATAAATGGGTTCCTGGGGGCTACAATCCTTTGGTATAGAAACTGGGATTCCAGGGAGGAAGGTGCTTCTAAGAAGAGAGTAACTTTTGAGAGATAGGTAGTTTTGTTTGAGAGATATTCAAGCAAAATGATTTGTTCTTCAGCCCAAAATAATTCCTGGGCTGACATCCACCATAGGTAATCTGACAAAAAAACAAACAAAAAAAATCGGGGCTTCAGATCAAAGACAAATGTTCATAGAAACAGTGTTGGAAAGTATGTACAGCCTCAAGATTGTTAAAAAGAAAGTAGTAGATATGAGAACCAAGGTAGTTCTTTTTAAGGGTGAGAGGTGTTAGAAGCTGGACCATATGAAGGCTGGTGGAACAGCTTCTGTTAGAAGTCCACATTATCCTTAGAGTCAATATTTGTGAAGTGTTTCATCTGCTTTTTTGCAAGTAAGGAGAGAGAATATAGATAATGTCACAGCCTGGAGGACTCCCAAGTGTGAGTGTCCTGTCTACTTCAGATTCTTGGTATCTTCACTAAGGTTGGGCTCCAGAGAGCAAACGGAATGGCAGCAGCTGCTGGAGGGCAGGGGCAGCTGGGAAGGCCAAGATGTCATCTTGGGAATACTTAACTGAGGAGCAAAATAATCAGGGGCCACGAGTGTGCCACATCTTTGCATGGTTTCCTTTATGCTTCTTTTTGTGATGGGCTTCTGTGATTGTCTTCTAGGGTTCTAATCATGAAAATGATGGCCAGTCGTAACTCACTGTGGGTGCTGCTGTTTATAGTGATCTTCTTGGTCTCCTTTACAGTTTTCAGAAACCCTCCAGAGGTAGGAACTGAACTCGTTTTCTGTTTTACTTCCTCTTGTGCATCTAGGAAAGCATAAGTCAAAGACCTGCTGGTTGCGATGGAGATGGGGGGTGTTCGGTGGCTTCCCAAACAACATTAATGAACCAATGTAGCTGACTACTGTTTAACACAGCAGTGTGTGAGGAAAGGGCCCAACTCTTCATGTGTAAGCTGGGATCCAGGGCAGAAGGTACTTCCTGCAGATAGGACATCATGAGGGACGGAAAGCTTTATAAGGCAGCTTTCTCTCTCTCTCTCTCTCTCTCTCTCTCTTTCTGTGTGTGTGTGTGTGTGTGTGTGTGTTTAAGGCAGCCATTCGTGTGTGTGCTTCCACACAACATCCTATGCTGCTTACATGTGAATGATGCTATTATTTCACAACATACACAGCCTGTTTGTACCTGTTTTAAAGAAGCCTGTGTAGGAAATAATATATTCATTTCTATGTATTGAAATGGACCTGACTCTTAAAAATTGTGGTTAATTGCAAATGGGAAACATTTCCCTCCTCCAGTACCAGGCTGTCTAAATGTCTATTCAAACGTTTATGTATTGTTTCCAACTGCAAAGCTTTTAAGGTTTATGTTTCATTTTGTTGCTGTTGGCTTTCTTGTTGCTGTTGTCTATTTTCTCTATTTCACTGGATGCTTCTCTGCTTTGGAATGAGGCTTTTGGTAGTGGTTCCTACTTGCTTTTATGTGTTCTTTGTAGAATTTTGTTCACAATTTATTATCATCTACACAAGAATTGGGTTCATGCAAACTACTTTGCCTTTACTGAAAATTCTAATTAAAGATTGATGGCAATAATCTGTCTTATTATTACTTTATTTGACATGTTGGAATATTTAAAATACCTTTTCAAATAATAGAGACAGCCCCAATAAGTATTTGCCACTAGGAATTGAAATTTGGTTCTCTTTAGCAGCAGCAATCACTGCTCAGAAATCTCTCCACCCCCATCACATCACCACCATTTTGAAGAAGATCCTAGCTCAGGCTATTTGGGGTTGAGTGGGTTCTCCAAAATAAGTCATTGGAAACCAGAGTAGCTCTGACAGTTTTTAAACAAAGCTGCCCGTGTATGAAACATATATGACCACAAGATCTCAGTGGTATATGATTTTTATACCTCTCATATATAAAAGACAAAAGTTGGTTAACCTGTCAGAACTCACATTAAATCGCAACTTTTCTTTTGTTTTCTATCCTATTTCTTGCCCACTCAGTTGTGGGCGACGTTCAAGTTGCCTGTGTCCTTCAATCGCTGGAACTCGGTCATGAACTCCTCATGCCCTACAGTGCCTCTGAACCCACCAGTTTCACCAAAAGAGACAGAGCTGAGAGTCAGGGAAGTCCTAGAGAAACTAGACAAGCAGATTCCTCCCAGGCCCTTCCCCCACCTCAACACCACCACCAGTGCCAAGCAGAGCACAGCCAGCATCCTCAAGCCTCGAGACAAGTACTGCGTGGGGGACCAGCTGCATGTGCTGCTGGAGGCTAGGGATTACCTGGGACGCAGAAAGGAGTATGGTGGGGACTTCCTGAGGGCCAGGATGTCCTCCCCAGCCCTGAAAGCAGGCGCCTCTGGAAAGGTGACAGACTTCAACAATGGCACCTACCTCATCAGCTTCACTCTGTTCTGGGAGGGCCCGGTCTCCCTGTCTGTCCTTCTCATACACCCCAGTGAAGGGGTGTCAGCTCTCTGGAGAGCAAGGAGCCAAGGCTATGATAGAGTTACCTTCACTGGCCAGTTTGTCAATGGTGCCTCTCAGGTCCACACTGAATGTGCCCTGATCCTAAACTCAAGTGTCGAGCTGTGCCAATACCTGGATGCCCAGGACCAAGAAGCTTTCTACTGTGTGAAGCCTCCAGATGTTCCCTGTGCTGCCCTTACCCACATGCAGTCGAAGAACAAGGATGTTTCCTATCTTAGCCAGCAGGAGAGGAGCCTCTTTGTAAGGTAAATAATGATCATTTCACATTAATGAGGGGGAAAATGGTAATTTAGCCTGCAGGGAAGTACATTAACTTAGGGACTCAAAAAGCCCTTTAATATGGGAACTAGGAATTCATTTGGGGATAGTATTCATTCTCCAAGAGTCCTCAGAATTTTAGGATAGAAAATCCTTATCAATGAGCCTCAAACATGAGTTGAGTAAAAACGAAGAGAATGTGTGTTCTAATATATTCTGTGTCTCAATACACTGCATTGAATACATACTTTGGTTCCTGGTCTCCTGTTGGCTAAAAAAAGTAAAATAAATGATAGCTTACTTAATGCTCTGAAATTTTAGACAGGGAAATTGGCTTATCACCAAGAACTCACAGAAGAAGTGACCAATCTGGATTCCTAAACTTTAACTGAGTTGAGGCCACTGCAATTTAATTTCTGTATTTGTCTCTTTAAGGTCAAATATAGGTGTGGAGATTATGGGAAAATCCAATGTGATTACTGTCTCCAAATGCAACAGTAAGTGCTGTGGTTCTGTGCTGGTGGGCGATGTTAAACACTGGACCTATTTAGAGGTCCTTCTCTATCTGTTGGTCTTGGTCACTATCTCAGTTCGTACAAGGCAGCCCAAGGTGCAAAGTCGATAAGTCAATGAATGGTTGTAACCACTAGCATTACAATCTTTAGTAACACACCTCTCCAAAACCTACTCATCAGATAGATGGTCACCTATGCATCTAACACAAGAACCTTCAAAGGGTAAAACTCCCTCCCAAGTTTTAGCTGGTTCTTTATCCTTCCCAGCCCACCCAATCCTCTCTCACTATCTTCATTTCTCCCTAGAGTTAGCACTTAGATGTCTCCAATGCACCATCCAGGAGTCAATTTTTTACTGCTATTACTCTCTCCTGGTTCTTGGAAGTTTGTTGTTGTTGTTGTTTTTTTTTTAATACAAAGAACACCCACATGTGTATTAACTACTTTTCTTGCTTTTTTAGCCCTAGAAGAGCTCACAAAACCCACCTAAACTGATTTAAGGCATCAGTATCATTGTCTCTCTAGATTGATCATGACAAGCTTGCTAATTGCTAAGAGAGTTTTCCACATTGGGGGAAAATGTGTTTCTGGTTGCAGAAGTGATATGCAGTGCTTTACCCAGCACTCACGAAAACCAAGGCTCCACCCCACCCCCCAGCATCACATAAGACTCACCCATAATTTCCAGACTCTAGAAGTGGAGGCAGGAAGATGATGCACTCAAGGCCATCCCTGGCTACACAGCAAGCAGAAGGCAAGCCTAGGCTACATTAGACCTTGTCTCAAAGACATACACAGACAGAAGTACAGAGGAAGAGAGAGAGAGAAGCTGTTAAAATACCACTTCAATCTTTTGCAGCAATGAATAATTGGGACCTGACCCTGCTGCCTCACCATGGTAGCCCGCCAGTCAGTCTCTTCATTACCAAGAGACTGAGGTTGAAGATCTGGGTCTTCCTGGACCCCCAGGCTTCTTTCTGGTACACAGCTATTATCAATGCAGCTTGGCCACTTTCCAAGTCAGGTTCATCCTGCCTTCATCTCAGAGTTCATAGTTTCATGGTGATGACTAAGGCACTGTGAGAATGTCTGGCAAACTCAGAAGCAAAGTGGGCTAAAAGGATGGGATAGGATGTTCTCATCATATACATGACAAAGCTAACAAATATTTAAATTTTACTTGAAGGCCTTTTTTTATTCTGAGGGGGAAATAACCCCATGTATTTTCATAATAAACACTAATAGGTATCACTGAAAAGACCCACACCAGAGGAAAGCTTTACTGAAAATAAATATTCTATTATGGAAAATACTTTAGTAAGCTCTTTTACTGTCACCGCCACCTACACACCTCTCAAAGGGTTTTTTAAAAAAAATATGGAAGGCACTTACTAATCAGGGATGAATAGAGTGTTGTTTTAGAAAATCCTGTCTTGCTGATTCCTTGGCAGAAGCGGCTCCAATGAAAGAGAAATGCAAGTTCGGGATGGCATCTGTAACCCCTAGTGGGTATGTCTGGAAGAACACCTGGAATCCGGCCTCCTGCAGTTTGGCTCCCATCAAAATCAAAGACTGCCTGCGAGGAAAATTCATCCATTTAATGGGTGACTCCACACTCCGCCAGTGGATGGACTACTTCAAAAGCATAGTCAACAGTATGTTTCAGTATAACTTATTCACATCTCCTTCAGGAACTATGTTTTCATTTCAAAGGGAAAAAAGAATAGAGAAGATGCCTCCTCTTTGCCATAGGTCTTAATCACAAACCACCAGCATTAGTCACAAAACTTTCCTATCATTCCCCTATGTTCATTGCCCCTAGTGTTGTTTTTGATGAAATAAGATAATGGAGAGAGATTATTTAACACATTGCCAGGCACACTAATACATAGAAAGTAGCCAGAGAGCAACAGCAATTGGAACTGTTACCACCAGTTAGTATCAGAGTTGGGGCTGGACTCCAGTACTAAAAACCCTAGTTTCAACGCTGTGTTTACTAAGTCAAGAATGCACCAGTACTAAGTCAGAATGTAGTGTTCCATCTGATCTAAACTGTGTATTAAACCATCACTTCCCACCCTTCTATATCCTCTGGCCCTGGCTCTTGTCACTAAAGACAAGGTTGAGCTTATGACTTAATATGAGGCCAGTCTTGTGGTCTCCAATTCTAAAAAACTGATCCTCTCGATGGAAAGGTGAAGTTGTTGGGACTAGGCTCTAAATTACAGAAGGACTCCCAACACAGAGGACAGATTAGATCATGATTTCTGGTAAACAATTACTTTGTTTCTCTCAGCTGCAAATTCAAGATTCTAGTGACAGCCTTTACTATCACGTAGTTTGATACTGTAGTTTTTTTTTTTCTTTAGATAAATTCAGCATTCTGAGGCTGTGAGTGGCCTTCCTCCTCAGCATGTAAGTGCTAGTGGGAAGGCATCTCTTGTGAAACATTAAATTCTGTAGCCAGAGTGTGCTTTGGAAAAAAGAACTGAAGTTAGCTGGAAGCAATGGATAGACTAGTTCTACCAGCATGTGTGTTTTGCAACCTCACTCACTGGCTTAAGACTTCCAGCCCTGCCCTTCCCTGCTAAGACAGAGCTCAGACAGGGCACTGTGGTCTCGCACTACATATTTTCTCAGAAGCTGTAGCAGCAAAACAGCTCACCTTGCTGTTCTGATAAGGCTCTAGTTGGCACAATGAAACATGGTGGGACTTTTTCTTGTCCTGTTCACCTTGTGCTCACTTTCTTATTTTCAGAGCTGTCCGAATTAGGGGGTGGGAGGATTTTAATTGCTCTTTTGGTCACAAACCATAATCTTGAACAACTTGGCATCTTGTCTTTACTATAACATGTCAAATACATAGATATATAGGTAGATGGATATAGATACATGTGAATATCATGGAGGGGAGTGGCTGTATCTGCCTATATAAATGCTCTGTAAAGGGCCACAAATAAGTGATCATTTTCCTGTCACTTGTGTAGATGAGATACTTGGTGCTATTCCATTGACAGGGAAAGAAGAACACAGAATAAAGTCTTAGATTCATAAAGCCGTTTCAAAGATGTACTTGGATTCTTTTTGCTCATATCAATAGCCTTCCCTATCTATCCTCAGATAAGGTCAGGGAAAAGTTAACAAGTCTTGCACAGACAGCAGGTACACAGCTGTGAACCTCATCTTCCAGTGAAGCTGAGTTAAATGCCAAAGCCATGCCCTGAACAATTCAATCTGAATGATTGTAGAAGAGCAAAGTGCATTATCATGAAAGTCTTTGGACTCTTAGAGTAATTTTCAAAACTACTCCTTAGTCAGATATGATTGATTTATAGGACTCTAAACACCAGATCTTTTTTTCTCCTGTATTTGTCGCTAGTTGATCTTTGTAACTGTATTCTCCTTTTGTTTTGGGATTGCCTGTTTGCTGTCAGCACTGAGGTCTGTAGATCTGCATGAGATTGGAAAACTGAAACACCAACTTGCTGTGGACTTGGATGAGAAAATCAACATCCAGTGGCAAAAACATGGTTACCCCCTTATTGGATCATTGGTCTACTCTGTTAAAGAAATAGAGAACATTGCACGGATAATTGACAGAACTGGAGGAGAGAAAAACACAGTCATCGTCATTTCTCTGGGCCAGCATTTCAGACCTTTTCCCATTGATGTTTTCATCCGAAGGGCTGTCAATGTTCACAGAGCTCTTCAGCGTCTTCTTCTGAGAAGCCCAGATACTATGGTTGTCCTCAAAACAGAAAACATCAGGGAGTTGAGCAGTGATGTGGAAAGATTTAGTGACTTCCACGGTTACACCCAGTATCTTGCCTTAAAGGATATTTTCCAGGATCTCAATGTGGGTGTCATTGATGCCTGGGATATGACAATTGCATATGGCACAAACAATGTCCATCCACCACAGCATGTAGTCGGAAGTCAAATTGATATATTCTTAAATTATATTTGCTAGGGAACACACAACTCTGAAAGTCACTCAGTGAACTTAAAAGATACAGTGAATCCTGCTGGCATGACAAATGCCAGGATGTCCCTGGACATATTATCAAGAAGATAATCTGTACTATGGTCCACCCAGTTCAACCTAAAAAGCCATTCCTACACTGGGTTTCTGCTTAAAGTTGAAGCTCAAAAGAATCAGTGAAAGATTTGACCTTTTTATTAGAGTCATGTTGCTCTTTATCAGTTGGCAGTTAGGATCCTTGTGATGAGACCTCCCTGTTGCTATGAATTCAAAACGATGAATTTTGATAAAATTCTTAAAGGGTCTTTGATTCGATTTGTAAATATTTTGTCAATAATTTTTATATTCGTTGTCATCATGGAAATTGATCTGTACTTTTATTTCTTGGTATATCTCAGAATTTGACATCAGGCCAAAACAGATTTCAAAGATTGACTTTGGTAGTATGCATTCTGCTTGTAATTGGTGGAAGGTTTTGAGAAGTATTGGTTAGATTTTCTTTAAAAGTGTCATGGTATTCAACAGTGAGTCTGTTGAGGCATGGGCTCTTTTTGGAGAGAGACTTTTAATTTCAATCTCATTGTTTATTATAAATCTGCTTAAATTGTTTCTATTTTGTAGATTTAATTTTGATAGGTCATATGCATTTAGAAGTTTGTCTTTCTTCTAGGTTTTCCAGCTTGTTAGAATATAATACTTTTAGATAAATGAATATAGAATATTCACAGAAACACCATCATTAAAATTAATATTTTGTACACTAATTTTAAAACAAATAAAAATAAGCAAAATTTTTAATGATTTCACTTTTATATATTAAATAAAAATTATAGTTTGCTTTTTATAAATACATTAAATTATATCATTTGTATTTCTTTTTGTGTTTGTTTGTTTGCTTGCTTGCTTGTTTATCAAGACAGGGTTTCCCTGTGTAACCCAGACTGTCCTGAAACTTGCTCTGTAGAACCAGCCTGGCCTCCAACTCAGAGATCCGCATGCCTCTGCCTCCCAAGTGCATTACCTTTATTTGGAGAGGGACTATGCTGCCACAGTGTACATGTGAGTAGCAGAGAGCAATGTTTAAGAGTCAGCTCTATGCTGCCACCAGGTGGGTCCAATGACTGAACTCAGGTTCTCTTGGTAGCAAATGCCTTTACCCACTCATCCATTCACTAACCCTAGATTATACCTTTTAAAAAGAAAAAAAAAAAAAGGTGGTTAAAAAGATGGCTCAGAAGTCACAAGCTCTTGTTGCTCTCCCTGAGGACCCAGGATTGATTTCCAGCAAACACATGATGGTTCACATTCCCAGGGGTCATGACACTCTCTTCTGAATTCCACAGGCACCAGGCATGCACAATACACAGACATACATGCAGGAAAAACACATAAAAATTTAAAATTAAGTTGTTTTGTTTGCATCCAACGGTTATATTTAAGATGTCATGTCAACTTGATGAGAGACTTATATACAAACTCTTTGAATAAAGAGTTTCATTTTCTTTTCTACTTCTAACTACTAGTTTCAGGTGATTTTTACATGCTCAGTTATGCCGTCCCCCCATCCCCTGGCAGTCATAGCACAGCAGAATACTAAATGAGGCAGTAGTATCTCAGAAATCCTGACTCTACTGTTCCATAGGAGCTCTCTCCATGAGATTCCAGTTGAATCTACAGTTTTGCTGTTGAGGAAGAGGAGGTGACAGAGTGAAACACAGTGAGCTAGAGGTCGAAGACTTTGGTCCTGTTACAAGGCATACTTTTAAGAATTTGGATGAATCGGGTCACCTTCCCAGGTCTTGGTTTTCCAAATGAAGAAATTAGTCTAAGATTCACAGTCACAGAACTTTGTTCTGTGAGCTGTTGTTGGTCCTTGGAACACTATGTTTAGAGATTCAGGGGACAGGAGAAGTGCTGGTAGGCTGAGTCCAGGTTCCACTGTGCCTCTTCAACCAAAGTATCAGTCACTTTTATGTGTGTGTGTTGTGTGTGTGTTTCTTCTGGGTGAGCCTTGGTTTGAAAAAGTAGTGCTGTACATTGATTCAATTTGAAAGCTATCTCGAGTACTTACAGTCAACAACACTGATTACCACCACCTACATATATAGGCTAACATTTTTAAGTATTCATTTTAATAGTTGAATAAGGCAATGAAATTTTCATCATTGCTACATTACCGATTTTCTTCACTGCTACATTCTGCCTTAACTCTGCACTAGTCACTGAACCGCACAAAATGTAGGAACTTGACCTACTGTCAAGGCACCTGGGCAAAAACAAGTACAATAGAACATCTTAAATCCACACATCCTGTGTCTTGAAGGGCATGAGATGATACATTCTCTGTATATCTGTTAGTTATTTTTCACAGTCCAGTACCTAGTGTACTCTGGAGGGGGAGGGTCAAAAACACTTATTAATTGAAGCAGGAGCTGAGACTCATAGCCAAACTTTGGGCAGAGTACATGGAATTTTATAAAAGAAGGGAGATAGAAAGACCTGGAGAGGACAGGAGCTCCAAAAGAAGGGCAACAGAGCCAAAAAATCTGATCCCTGGAGGCCCTGAAGAGAATGATACCCCAACCAAGAACAATGCATGGAGAGGACCTAAAAGCCTGGCTCAGATTTAGCCCATAGACTCAGTGTCCAAGTGGGTTGCCTAGTAAGGGAAGCAGGGGCTGTCTCTGACATGAACTCAGTGGCTGGCTCTTTGATCACCTCCCCCTGGGTGGGTGTGGAGGCAGCCTTACCAGGCCATAGAGGAAGGAAATGCACACAGTCCTGATGAGACCCTGATAGGCTAGGGTCAGATGGAAGGGGAGGAGGACCTCCCCTATCAGTGGACTAGGGGAGGGGGCATAGGGGGAAAAGAGGGAGGGTAGATAGGATTGGAAGGAGGCAAGGGACAGCTCCAGAGCTGGAATAAAAAGTGAATAAACTGTAATAAATGGTAATAATAATATAAAAGATTTATCCAGGGGGAAAAAAGAAGACACTAACTTGGCCTGTAAAGTTATCAGAGCTGTGTGAAATCTTTTTTCTTTTTTTTATTTCCTCCTCTGAGGGGAACCACCTTTCTTTGTTCCAGCATGAGGTCCCTGGAAAACTCCAATTTCCTGGGAACACTTGTTGAAATAGTCTGATAGCCAAAGAAAAGACATGAAAGTCTCTAGAACGCCTGCATTTCTGGCACTGTCATTGCAAAACTGCCTTCTCAAATGTTGTTCATACCCATAGGCTGCTAGTGCTGTCAGACTGCAGCCTCATTTGTTTCCAGAGGGTAGTGGTTACTACAGACACTGATCCAATCACACTGGCTATGACTGATGACCACTAATGTGACCCAACACTCAGTCATAAATGGAAAAAAAATGATCAGAAATCTATTTCACCACCCCAAGACCCAAGAAACATTGCAGGAAAGAAATGAGCTAGAGTCCCTACTGGGGCCTGGAGAGCCTTCTGCCAGCCGCCTGTACCAGAACAAACTGGAAGACAGAGGTTGGTGGAGGACATAGTTATTTCAGACTCAGTTGGGAAAATGAGGTTGATATCATCTGCCTTGCAGAAAAGTGCTCCCACTTTCAAAAAGAGACATCACCTCAGGAGGTTTTCCTTGATGACAGGTGAACGATTCCTTGTTGGAAAAGTTCTTTTTTTATTTTATTTTTGAGATTATGATAAATTATATTGTCTCTCCCTTCCTTTCCTCCCTTCATACCCTCCCATATATTCTCCTTGTTCTTTGAAGAGCTGTTGTATTCATAAATAGGACTTTTTCCTCAGTCTATATAATGTGGCATACATGCGTATTTACAGGGCTGACCATCTGGTGTTGGATAAGCAACTGGTGTGCTCTTCCCTGAGGAAGACTCTTCCCCACTCCCAGCATTTCTTAGTTGCCTGTATTACTTTCTGTAGGGTTGAGGCCTCAAGGGCTTTCCCCATCCGCTGTGGCATATCCATAGGAATCTTCCTTTTTCAGTTCACATTTGAGCAGTCATGTTGGTGAGACTTTATGAGTGTAGCTTTTGATATTTCTAGGAGACACAATCTCACAGCAAACTCCCCGATCCTCCCTCTCTTACAATTCTTTCCCCTCTTCCACAATGTTCCCCGAGCCTCAGTTAGGGGAGCTGTGTTATAGACATATCCACTGGGACTGGGCTTTACAACTATGCATTTAAATTGTCTGTAATGTTCTCTATCTGTTGCAAAGAGACATTTTGTTGTTATTGTTCGTCATTTTGGCTTTTGTTCTATAAGGTTTGAGGACTACACTTATTTATGGATATGAGAACAAATGTTTATAGATTGTTGTTAGGGATTATTTATTTATTATTTATTTCATAAAGTACTGGTTAGCGGTTCTCAAAGAAGATCCATCACTTTTCCAGCATTGAGTAGTTAGCTAGGTTTTCAGTATCAGGCATGATTTCCTTTTTGTTAAGCAGGTTGTGAGTCCAGTTAGAGAGCTGTTGGTTACTGCCAAGATATGTGTACCTCTACAGTACCCTTAAGGGTTATTGTGCCATGTGAAGTGTTGTTATGGTTCATAGACGCCAAAGGGTAGGACTATTGATTGCTTCCCTCCTTTGGAAGCTTGCAAAGAATTTTCTGGTGCTATAAAAGCTAGTCCTCAAGAAAGAGTTATTCAGGTCAGTTCCAGCTCAGGGGCCTCTGGGCTCTGTTTCTGAAATGCATGGTGTCTTCAGCAGTAGGGATTTGCCTTCCACTTCTAGGGAGGCATCAAGGGCAATAGCAATATGATATATATTTTGGGAGTCTCTTGGAAATCCCTGACCAACAGCTTAAACAGGATTTCTCATGTCTGGTATTAGGGTTTTTATTAGGTGGTATTTGGCTCTTGGAGGGAGCATTCTTAGCCCAAAATGAGAAAACTTAAACTATACATGTAAATTTATAGACAGAATTACATGTATTATATGATTTTTAGATAAGTAGTTAAGTCTGATTTCTTATAACTCGCTCAGGCATTTTTATTGTTATTTTACTCCCCATCCTCCTTTTTCTCTGTTTACTTGTTGGAGTCCAGATGAGCTGCAGTCCCTTACTCTAGAACAAACTCTGTCCCAGATATGGCCTGAAAACTGAAAGGAACTGATTAAGTTTCAGAGAAATGACCTTAGGACAAAACAAAGCCACCAGGGCAGTAAAGTAAAGTAAAGAAGGAAGAACTCAGGAAAGGGGTTAAAGATGCTGTTTGCTCAAGCTCTACTTGCAATGCTCTCTCTCTCTCTCTCTCTCTCTCTCTCTCTCTCTAATAGCTAGCAAAATGATATATAAACAGCAGTGGGAAAAATAAAAAATTATTCACTCTTGAAGTGAACCCAGTGTCTTGGGTCTCTGTCTACCATTATCTTCCTTTCTAGGTCCCTTGGAAGCTCAAGGCTGCCCTGGCTGTGCCATTTTCCTTCCTATCCTTTCCCTAAAGACAGCATCCCC